TTTTACATTGTCGTATTAGACTGGGATGCAGCAACTTGGACACTGCATTATCTAATCTTTGAAGGACTGTTGTAATATGTATTAGTTTGGGGAGCGACATTAATATAGGGGAAACACAGTTTGTCAATCTCACTGTGCACTACTAGTGGTACAAGAATGAATATTGTTAAACTATACACACACTTGCATACATCTTCAATCGTGTCGCATTGTAGATATACACTATAGCCCTAGAACAAAGGCTCACGTTTCAGTGGCTAATGCTAATTGCCTGGCTGACATATCTCACCTAGCCATAGTGCAATGTTGTCTTAACAAGACCTTTTTAGGAAGACTCTGGCTAAGTGAGAGTGAACCATTTCTGAGCGTGGTGAGCCATGAACAGTGTTCACCACATGCAAAACAATTTTAATCAATAAGTAGCTTCAATTATCAATTTCTTATGCTGTCTCCCACTTAGTGGGATTGTAAATATTTGCATTTGATTAAAATGACATTACATGATTATAAGTTATATATGTATCACTTATTTATCTGTAACTAAATTTATAACACTAATCATCTGCTTAAAATGATAAAAATGTTAAAGAAACATTATGTAACTATAAAGTATTATGTTATATATGTATAATTTGTTTATTTTGGATATCTGTAACTTTATATATAACATAAATCGTATATATTTTTGTAAATTTTGTAAAATGAAATAAATTGGCAAAGTGTTGAATCCCCAACTAATCCCCTTTGTTGCACCATTAACGTTAATTAATTGCTTGACAATGAAACTGGCAAAGTGGGAGGACACCACATTCTTAAAGTACGACTTACAAATGCCAATTTCTTGTTGATGCATAGATGGGAGTTTCCATATTTATTCCCACACCGTTATCAATATAAAAGTTACTACAACCAGGTGAATAGAAGTATATATGCATAATGACAACCAGCAAATTAACAGATAATTTAGCAAGTAGCACATCGTTGGATGGAGGCAGCAGGAGAGTAAGATCAACAAATTGTAAACAGGCTGATTGGATGCTAATTGAACAGCTGATTGACAGATTCTAGCTGTAAATCAACTTCAGTATGACAAAGTCGAAATCCACTCCACTGTCAAAGTGATGGAATCAATCAACATTCAATCAGCTTGTTTATCCTGAACGATGTACATCGAAATGCCGCCCTATTCAATAAACAGGGAGTTGTTATCACTTAAGTGATATGTTTCGTTATGTATTCCCATACTGTTTACTGCAGTATAAGTGAGATCTGATTCAGTTTGCGAATGACCACACTTTTGAAAATTATTTAAGTTATACTTTAGTAAACTGCATCCTAATAATTTGATTTCAGATTAAAACATCTCATTCCGAATTTGTGTAATCCTCGTTCTGGTACTAAGAAATACTGTATTTTTACATATTAGATATAAATCTATCAGTACCAGTTTGATGTGTCGGGTCATGAGTTAACTAACATAATGATTATATATTTATTGTCATTACATGTGTCATTAAGCGTCATTTATGCCATTATAATGTTCTCTGATCCATTTCATCGTACAACATTTATTTCATTCAATGTTTTGAATCTCACATGATGACATGAGAAATGTTACTGTTCCAGTTCAGTTCATTCTTCAAGTGTTCCAACCAATATCGTCATTATGGTTAAAAACGGCCTGATTTTAATACCTATCAACTTAGATGATATATATGAGTATATGCACACACACAAAATAACGTAATTTGTGAATTCTGTTCAGACGAAAAAGAAATATCTAATTTGATAAGAAACACTACATAAAGTATCTTCCCTCACTCTGAGAGAAGCATGGCATTATTCGTTAATTTTTAAATAATTTTATCTGCATAAAAGAAGGGATTATAAAAAAATCTGAAACAAACTTCCGTATACTACCATTTCACCAACTTTGCGACATTGACCATGGAATCATGTTAATTTCAGTCTGATTTTAATGTCATAACTATGCGAGGTTCCTCATTCACACATTCATACAAATTGACAGCTCAACACAAAACAATATGCAACCAACCAAATTCAATACAACACAACTTTCACCGCCTGTGCATACCACACTGTTGATTTTGTATATTTGTATATATGCAATATTGTGTATGCATTTGATGTTACATGCAATATTAGTATAATTAAATATGTCACCATATTTTCAAATTACTCATATTCGTATATTTGCTATTGCTATATGCAATAAACAAAATGTGATAAACTTTACTGTTTACCAACAAGCGCTGCATACTTGCTTTTCTACAACACACTATAGCTTTAATCCCCATTGTTGTAACGATTAGTACGGTCCAGTAATTTCAATCTCAAAACAGTACGTCCAGGCAAATAGAGAACATCCCAAAGCTTGGAACTTGGTTTTCCTTCCAAAGGCCGTCTTTACTGACTTGACTCACTCATTAATTAACAAGGCAGTACGCCTTGTTAATTGGTGAATCTTAACTGCCTTGAATCACTCATCAATTAACAGGGGATTAGGTCTTGGGGCTTGCAAACTAATATCATTTACCATCACCCACCAGTTATCTCCCCTTGTGGACATTTCCAAAATTGGAAATCTCATATTTCCAAAATTGGAAATGTTTGGAAACATCATCTTTCCAAAATTGGAAATGTCTTTGAAACATCATCTTTTCAAGACATTTCCAAGCTTGTAAACGTGGACTTTTTTTCCAGTGTTATGTGCAGCATGGGCTTTTGTGTTACCTGCTATGCCGACGTGACCAGGTAATCAGCAGAAGACGATGTCATATTGGCCAGAAGAAGGTGACTTGAAGTAACATCTTGAGGTGCCCGAAGGCAAGATATTAAATCATTCTGTAAAATACGATGAAGTTTTGGGAATGATTTGCTGTTTGTCACTAAGCCACGGTACATCCATATGTAGAGCCCGTAACTTGATCAGAAGTGCAATGTTGCCTACTGACCATAGACAATTGCTGTTTGACAATGTCTGTACCCAGTGCCGGAAGATGACTGATTCCCATGTGGATCAAGTATACTGAACAAAAAACCCTACTTCACACTCGGAGAAGTGAATTATTTCAAAATGGATCGATGCACAATTTAGTTAATGTTGGCGAATACCAATGGGATGCATGCAGCACGCTCTTTTGTGAAAACGCGAGCCTGCACGTGCGCAGAGTCACGTGACCACAATTCCATGTGCCTTACCACACACACGTGTGCAGAATTTGCTGGTGATTGGAAAGAACACGTTAACAATCATGGAGAAAAAAACAGTTCCCATGCCATTCTTTATGATTGAAATGAACTTGCAGCTGGGCATACTCGAAGCTGCCCCCTCTATTGTGGCTGTTGCACGTGCCATTAGATGCTGTATTCTGACAATTTTCAACCTGAGGACACTTGTGCTCTAAAAGAGTATGCCATCCGACGGCTACTTGTGAAGTAACATGCCGAGGACAATCAAATTCTGCTTCATCATTTTCGTAATCGATTTACGACCGTGACGTCAACTGATAACGCACTTTTAGGGATCGCATAACTGTCCAAATCATAAAAAATCGCTTGTGCGCTCCCCATCTTCATGCCGATTCCGAAACAGGTAGACTGTAATGAACGTCTGCGCTGGGCACATTTGCAACTGCAGTTGGCTAAATTTCCTGCGAAGTTTCGGGTATTGACGTCAAGGAGTGGTCATCGAGATCACCTACCTCGATCCCATCGAACACGTATGGGGTGCTCTTGGAAGACGACTTACTGCCATCTACCCGAGAAAGCGTGTGAAATCGAAAAGGTTGTGGAGGGTGCACCAAGCACACCGTAATGTCTTATCCTGTTTTTGTGTATATAGCGTCCATAAACCAGATTTATCCACAAGCAACACACTTCTATGTGGGTTTGTTTGGTACATAAAGTTACACATGTGAAGTTTCTTTTTCTTTAGTGTAAAATCAAAACGTAAACGCCAGAGAACAATCAATCTTGATTATGTTCTGAATAACATTCCAAAGGGAATTAAAGCAACTATAGTCACGAAAAGTATGTGAATGGATCACTAAACTTCACCAGTTACCCTCTAAAAGGTTAAGTCCGTACGTTTTATGTGGTAGCAACCTCCACGAGTACTACTTTCAGAAAACGTAAATGTGTGGCCAGTACCAAAAGCAACAAGAAAACAGCTATATTTCCTCATAGTGTCTTTTCTTCATAGTAATGTGTAAATAGTAATATATAAGTAAATGAAAAACAGATTCCCAATGAGACCTAAGAGAAGACAAGCACAAGTGTGCTTTACATCATCAGAGAAAATAATTGATGTGAAGTATTAACACCAAAATCACCTTCTCTGGCAAATCATATTTTATGGCACCAATTTTAGAACTCAAACTTGAGTAATTTCACGTGACGTCAGTAGACTCTGAGAAAATGTTTCCCCGTTCAGACACTATTCTTTAACTGGTTATGTTCAAGGGAAAACCAAAAAGCATATGGCAAGGAACATATAAATATGGGACCGCTTTTCGAACTCAAGCTCCAAATGTTTCTATTTGATACGCATGCCAAGTTCCATTCATGTAACTTCATTAGATAGTACAGGCAATAATCTCTTTTTAGTAAGTTAAAAAATATGCAAGAAGGGTCATAAGACTGCCTGCACTACACTATCGTAATACACCCATTTTCGAGCTGTTTTTAGATGATGACTAGCAATGTTATTGTGTAAAACTTAAGTTGTCTAACTTAAATAGATGTTGCGAAACGTATCCCCATTTTACACAGAATGCATTGATTTGAACATGGGCCATAACTCATAAAAGCTATATTTTAGACAAAGTCATTTTAAATCGTAACCAATTACATCGCATATACCCCTGGCCCTCTTCGGTGCGCAGATAATGATCACCTTTATCGGATCTATATAACAGCCATAATTGTTTACCCGATGACACGACTTCTGATATAGGTATCTGAGCCTGATGCGCCATGAAGCCCAGTGAAGAGAAGACCACAAAGCCACAGAATATACTGGTGGCTTCACCAATGACAGTAAGTAACACTACGTCTCTAAAAAGAAACTTTGATAACATTAGTATGGCATTGTGATCAGTATCGGGTAATGCTTCAACAATCAAATCAGCCTGATGTGCTTACCAATGGAAGTGTCTATTTGATTTAACAATGTCAGATGTAAACAACTGTTACCTAAGAAAGATATACATGGTTTGAGATTGGCTAGAATGAGAGGTTTCGTGTGTGTTACTGTGCACGTCTTCATACATATGACAAATGATACACCGAGAACTACATGTTCGTAATATGTCGGAATTAACCTGAATCAGGATCATACTGTTTTCATTTGTGTGGAGTTTTATTATCGACACATGTTATACAATCGTTTATGGTTTCTATTTCTAATGTAAATTGGCGAATTATGTGGCCCTCCAACAGAGGACCTGTTCACCTGAAGCAGTTGTTGTGGAAGTTGTTGTAGCTGCTCATGGTGATGAGGCCTCCGACTGTTGTACTCATGGAGAAAAAAACCTTGCAACAAAGCTTCCAGCCAAACCTTTTGTTGGTATAAATATAAGACAATATTTTCATGTTCTCTTGCTGAATGAGAAGTTGATATTGTGTGTGTTTCCGAGGAGATTATAGCTTCTGTAACATAAATTGCATGTATGCACTTTACCATCAAAACTTAAAGCCACGATCTGTGAATCCGCTTATAAAAAAGCCCAGTAATCAAAACAATATTTGACATTTTCCCCTCTCACTCTACATACTCCAACATAAGCGCCTTTAAGCAGCTAGGCAGATGAATACCAGGCGTTATACAAGTGAATTATTATCAACATTATTATTGTTGTTATTTATATATGATACATCCGTTAGTAAGTTGGCTCTGATAATGTATCTTCCCTGACAGTGATCGTATTAATAATACTAGAGCATCTGACCTGTACATTTCCAAGCCGAGAGAAGTCTGGACTAAGGAAATAGAGTATACCGTCCCCAGCACCCGGCATCATGCACGACCTGACCAGCAAAGCCGTCAGGAGAACGTAGGGAAGAAGGGCAGTCACATACACAACCTGGTTTATAGGAATTTGAAACAGTGAAAAATCGCACAGTCTGTAAATGCTAAAATCTGGACAGGTACATAGTACATGATGACCAAAAAAGCAGTAGTCACAGAACTCAACCACACTGTAAACATCACTGTAAACACACTGGTTATCATGGAATTAATGTCTCCGATGAACATTGTCGAACAGCCATAAACCTCATCACTTCATTGATGATTAAAAACAGTTCAGAAAAGCAAAGGTGTGAAACGGTGGTGTATAATGTCTCTTCTTATGTGCATCAGCACTGGTGTCCTATTCATATATTATTAGGTATTACAGAAGTGTTTGGTCTGAAGCGTATGATATTGGTATCCCACCTTTCCAACAGACTTCACACCTTTAACCATACACAGAAATGTAAGAACCCACGAGACAAGGATGCAGAGAACAAGATGAACCTGTACTGTTCCGAAATTGTCGATACCGCTCGAAATTCGCAGTGTGTTGTACCTGTCAAATAAATAATACTTTATGAAAATAGGCCATACGACATTAGATATCGCTAGAGCCACTGAATGAAACTTCAATGATTGAGTCATAAATTGTCTTTCAGCTAATTATATGATTATTATTTCAATATAATTTTATCAACTTATTTTCAACTCTGATGTCTAAATATGATCATATGATCTACATCCAAAAGGGCAAAGTAGTATTAGGCAGTAGCGTAAACCTACAATAATATGCACGGAAGCACAAGAACGAATGCAATGTATTTCTATATGCATACGAAAGCTATAATTTCTTAACGCAACTACATTACATATAAAATTTTGTTCTTCTTTTAAATTATTAATATTGCTTTAAAAACCTACAACCTACAATAAGCTACAAGTTACGATTCTGTTTTGTTTATTTGTTGTTTAATAATGCATTGAACAGTATTGTAGCTATATATATATGGATCTGTAAATTATCGAATTTCTGGTCGCCGCAATTTAGTAATAGACACCACAAGCATGAATGTACGCTGTAGGAAGATGACAGTATGTGCCAACCAATTCAACTAGCCTGTTCCTCCAATCTTGTTCGTCGTGTCGGAATATGAACAAGAAGACAAAGTCTTCAATATCCCCCACAATGGCAAAATACTCTTCATGATTATGTCTACGAGTTATTATTATGTCAAATATTTAGGTGTGTATATACAAAAGTGGAGCACTGTCACCAATTTCAGTCTAAGTCAAACTTGTTGCCATGGGAACGCCAAAAATATTTTATTCAGAATTCCAAAACTAACAAAAGGCACCAGTACACAACCAGATCTATCTATGTGCCAAGTTTGCTGAAGACATATTGAACGGTTTCAGAGTTCTGCTCCGGAAAGGAGCACTACCACCAATTTCAGTCTAAGTCGAACTTGTTGCCATGGAAACGCCAAAAATATTTTATTCAGAATTCAAAAACTACCAAAAGGCACAAGTACACCACCAGATCTATGTATGTGCCAAGTTTGGTGAAGAAACATTGAACGGTTTTAGAGTTCTGCTCCGGAAAAGAGCACTACCACCAATTTCAGTCAGTCGAACTTGTTGCCATGGAAACGCCAAAAATATTAAATTGAGAATTCCAAAACTACCAAAAGGCACCAGTACACCACCAGATCCATGTATGTGCCAAGTTTGGTGAAGAAATATTGAACGGTTTTAGAGTTCTGCTCCGGAAAAGACAAATGTGCAAGGACGGAAGGACGCACGGACGGAGTCCATTTTAATACCCCCGCAAAACGCGTTGCGGGGGATAATTACTGCAAAGCGTCAGTGAGGGGTCTTAGATATTGTCTCAAGAGGGAAAGATAACCTGTAGTTGTTGAGTTGAGTTGGGTTTTGCGTCACATCGGCATTATTCCAGCCATATAGTGACGAGAACAAGTTTGCATTAATAAACATTGTAAGTACATACTCGGAATGAGTTTTATTTCAAAAACATATATTCATTACATTGTCATTTAAAAGCAGAAAAAGTCATAGCACCAAAGTTAAAGGCAGGCAATTTGTTAGTCACATTTCACAGTTACAATTTATGATGGTCACATTTCACAGTTACAATTTATGATACAGATCAACTTCCCTCAGGTAGTTCACTATCAGATGAGCGCTCACGCAGGAGAACAGATCTTTCAGATTTGTTGCATCATAATGTGAGTCCCTTGCAGACGATAAGTCCACGCATTCAAGCAGAATATGTTTGATGGTGAAAACCTCATCGCAAGAGACACACATGGGGGGTCCATCCCCATCCGTTTTCAGCAGATAGTCATGAGTAAACCGACTGTGGCCAATACGACATCTTCGTAAAATTACCTCATCACGTCTTGACTGACAACCCAAGTAGGTATAACCAATTGGTGGCTTCGATTCATACAGTTTATTTCGTCCTACTTGAGTGTCCCATCTTTTTTGCATGAGGTCCCGAGTATAGCTTTTGATAGTGGGTTTGAAATCACTGTACGGGATCAGCAGTGGAGATAAGGGCTTGTCAAGAGCTGCTTTTATTGCAGCATCGGCTTTTGTGTTACCTGCTATGCCGACGTGACCCGGCAACCAGCAGAGGACGATGTCACATTGGCCAGTAGAGAGGTCGTTGTAAAGTTCTAAAATGTCCAGAATGATTGGGTGACTTGAAGTAACATTTTGAAGGGCTTGAAGGCAAGATAATAATTCTGTGAAAACGATGAAGTTTTTAATATAGGTCAAAGCTGAAAAGATAGCTTTGGCCTCGGCAGTGAAAATGGAACTGTTGTCGGGAATCCTAGAGGAGACAGTCTTAGATCCAATGACTGTAGCACTGGCAACTTGGCACTCATCCTTGGATCCGTCTGTGAAAATGGATCTATGGGTGTTATACTTGGAACGTAACTGGATGTATTCCTGCTGGAACACCAAGGGATTTGTTTCGGACTTTTTGAGATTAGTGAGGGTAAGATCGACCTGTGGTTTCACCATCTGCCCGGGTGGTGAAGACAGGAGTCGGTATTGAGATCATTTTAGCTGCAGATATGTGTGGTTGAATGCTGATTCCAAGTGGTGGAACCAGGCTTGGTAGTTTAGGAAACAAGTTTTCATAGAGAGGGTTGTAAACACAATTGTATGCTGGATTGGACTGATTAGGACGTAGTTTAGTGATATACTGCAGTGCAAGTTTAATGCGGCGTTGTTCAAGGGAAGGTTCGTTAGCCTCTGCATATAGACTGTCTACCGGAGAGGTCCTAAAAGCTCCCAGGCAGAGCCTCAGGCCTTGGTGGTGGATAGAATCTAATTTTTCTAAATTGCTTTTGCAGACTCCACCATAAACAATGGAGCCGTAGTCTAGTTTAGAGCGAACCAAAGATCTGTACAAGTGAAGGAGGGTAATCTGATCCCTTCCCCACTCTGTATTTGAAACGACTTTTAGTAAGTCCAGAGCCTTCAAGCACTTTGTTTTCAAATATTTTATGTGTGGTAAGAATGTCAGGTGGCGGTCGAAGTCCCAGGAATTTGGCCTCTTCTACTACCTTGGTGGGAGTACCATCTAAAGATACGTCTGGATCCTTGTGTGGTCTGTATTTACGACAAAAGTGAGTACAATTTGTTTTGGATTTTGAAAACCATTTTCATTGGCCCATTTTTGGATTTTGTTAAGGCAGAGTTGTAGCTGCCTTTCTATTGCGTGCATGTTCTTACCACGACATGAAATATTGAAATCGTCCACGAAAAGGGACCCATCTACGCAATTGTTTAGGACGTTAGTGAGGCTGTTAATTTTGATGCTAAAAGGGTGACAGACAGGATGCTGCCTTGAGGGACGCCCTGATCTTGGTGGAAATAATCAGACGATGTGGAACCTACCCGTACTTGAAATTGTCTGTTGTTTAAAAACTGAGATATGAACTGAGGTAGTCTGCCCCTCAATCCAAATTCATGTAAATCTTTTAAGATACCATGTTTCCACGCTGTATGCTTTTTCTAAATCGAAGAAGATAGATACAGTATGTTGTTTGTTGACGATGGAATTTTTGATGAAAGATTCCAGACGCACCAGATGGTCAATGGTACTTCGGTTTTTCCGGAAACCACATTGGAGGTCACTAAGGAGGTTACTGGTCTCCAAGTACCAGATTAATCGATTGTTGACCATGCGCTCCATGGTTTTACAAACACAGCTAGTTAGTGATATAGGACGGTAGTTTGAGGGATCGGTATGATCCCGGACAGGGTTTGGTATAGGGATGATAATGGCGTTGTGCCACGAAGGAGGAAAGTTGCCGGTTGTCTAAATGTCATCAAATATATTGAGTAGAGTTTCCAAACTTGAATCAGGAAGGTGTTTCAGAAGCTGATAATGAATATCATCAGCACCTGCTGCAGTGTCGTGAGCCTGCCCCAGGGCAGTACGTAGTTCATGGAGAGAAAACGTTTCATTGTAATCCTCACCATTATCAGAGTTAAAATTGACTGATTTCTTTTCTTGTTGGGTTTGGTATTTCTGGAACTAGGGGTTATAGTTTGACGAGGAGGAGTGGTTTGCCAAAGTTTCGCCAAGTTTGTTTGCAATTTCAACTTTATTGGTTAAAAGGGAGTCACCATCTTTGAGATGGCGAACACTAGATTTGGATCCTTTGCCCTTAATCTTTTGAATCATGTTCCACACCTTGGACATGGGTGTGCGGGAGTTGATTTTGGACACATATTTCCTCCATGACCGGCGTTTAGTTTGTTTAAATGTACGTCTTGCCCTGGCATTTGTCATATTAACGGCATTCAGGTTATGCACAGTAGGATGTTGACGGAAGTATTTTTCCGCCTTCTTCCTATTTTTCCTAGCCTGTTTGCAGTTTGTATCAAACCATGGTTTGCGTATGTGCGGTTTGCAGAGGACTTAGGAATCCTTGCGTCTCCAATAGTATTTAAGATATCAGAAATAGTTCCATGGGATCAGGAATATTCCTGAAGTTGTCCGGTATAAGCTTTTCAGAGCAG